GCTACTTATAGCTGTCAGAATGATTCTAGAAACTTCCGTAGCTGAGCCCTAATTCAGAGCTGCAAGGCCTGAGGGGAATCGTTGATCAAAGGCGGGAGATTCACGGGCTGGGCCGTGGGCAGAGCCCGGCTTGGTGCCGAGCAGGGGTCGGGACTGAGCCCTGCTCGGCCCAGTTGGTTCTCTGCCGTTCGCTTTCCTCGTTCCTTCTCCTCTGCAGGTTGGCCTTTTGTCGATTTTCCGTTGCATAACAGGTAATATTATATATAAAAAAAATAAAAATAGTGTGAGAGAGAAAAAATGGAGAAAAAAGAGGAAGAATAAGAAGAAAAAAAATAAACCTCAAATGTTGTTGAAAAAAAAATCAAAATATTGTGAGAGAGAAAAAATGAGGAAAAAGAAGAATAAGAAGAAAAAAATAAACCTCACAATGTTGTTGAAAATGAGTGAAGAAAGTCTTTTTATATAGAATGATAAAGAGGTTGCAAAACTTTTAAAATTCTACCACCTTTAAATATAATTAAACAATATTAAATGATGATGAAAAAAACTCTTTCCATTCTTAACCCTTGCAAAATTAAGTGGAATTGAAATAGAGTTTTAAAAGTCAAAATAATAATAATAATAATAACAAAAGAAGAATAAAAGAATCAAATCAAAACTAACCCATAACCAACCCACAAAATTGGAAGAGAATTTCAAAAGAAAAAAAAAATCAAAACAACCGAGGAAATGGAATATGATTTCAAAAGAAAAAGAAAGTCAAATAAAAACTTAAGCATAAATGAAGGGCATCTATAATATTAAGTGAAAAAAAGGAAGGGTAATATTGTCAAAAAAATGTTTCATCTGCATCTTACCATGTGCAAATGTACGAAAATTTTTTAATTTAATTAATTTCATAATAACAATGGTAATACTTTTCATATTTAAAATTTTTAGTTGAAATTCATATTATTAATTGAAATAAATTTAAAAGCAATAAATAAGTGTAAAGCAATAAATAAATAAATATATATATATATATATATTTATAAGTTTGAATATATAGATTATAATTCTTTTAGATTTTAACACTTTTGTATTTTTAGATTAAATTTCGTCATATTCTTTTGAGATTTTAAGATTTCAGGTTAAATATAATATAATTAAAAATAATAATTATTAAATTAATGTAGGTAAATAAACTTTTCATATTCTAACTCTTAACCCATACATTTTTTCTTTTACTTTATTTTATATTATAGAAATAAAATTAATATGTACTTTGAATTTATAAAAAAAATCATTATTTGCTTTTATATTATAAATTGATAAATTTATTTTATTATTCTTAATTAGTAAAATTATAAAAATATGAGATTAAAAATAATAAATTATTAATAAAATAGGTTGAAAGTGA